GCTGCCCGAATTTACGTAGACGAGCTACTAGCTTAAGTTACAGACTTAGCCTTTGTTCAACACTGATTTTGAATCTCCTTATGCTATGATAGATCGAGTTGACTTGTTTGAAGAGTTGCTTGGAAGGTATTAAGGACTCAACATGTTTAAAGTATGTTAAGGCTCTCCCTTCATTATTTTGGCATGATCTATAGTGAAACGAACGTAAACGATACGCTATTTCATAATGAATCTACTCCTAGCAACTAAGGTTGTCCATGTTATTCTTTCCTTACAAAGTTATTCCAAGAAAGCATATATGATCCTTGAGTCCTAGTGAAGTTCATATTGATGGTATGATGTCCATAATGTTAACCGATGGTGCAATGACCTTATGTCACTCCAAAAGGTTTAGAACGTGATTCCATGAGTCCAGCATGCATTATATATGTATCTACTTTACTCTACCGAGCCGCACTATAGTCGGCCGGGTATGGCACCTATTGTGCAACCACTGATCAGTTGGGTTTACCGAGCTCCACGTGGCCGGGTACGATTCTACCGAGCCTTATGATGGCCGGGTACGTTTTTACCGGGTCCTCTTTGAGGCCGGGTATGATATGATGATGATGTTGCTCACAGAGGCGTATGTTTTTAAAAGTTTATGTATATATATGTATTATGCATTTCATGTCAGTAGCCCCCAGAGGCACTCAGATGTTACAGGTTGTATCTCCTCTATCTCTCTTTACATTACTGTTCTGGTTTATGCTTTCCTGTCTTACATACTCGGTACTTTATTCGTACTGACGTCCCTTTTGCCTGGGGACGCTGCGTTTCATGCCTGCAGGTCCCGATAGACAGATTGACACTCCTTCTAGTAGGCTATCAGCTCAGCGAAGGTGTTGGTGTACTCCACTTGCTCCGGAGTTGCCTATTTGGTTAGTATGCTTTGGATATGTATTGATTGGTATGGCGGGGCCCTGTCCCAACCTTTATGATTTTATGTACTCTTAGAGGCTTGTAGACAGATGTCAGGTGTATGGATACTTGTAGGGCCTTGTCGGCCTATGTTTTGAGTTTACGAATGGTCATGTCGGCCTTATAGGCTGGTATGTCACATGTATAAGTTTGTATATCATGTTGGGTCATCATACGTTAAGTATTCCCTTATGTTTTATTCTTGTTATCTCATGAAAGGTTTTCTAGCTCATTTACCCATGATAGTATGATAAGAAAGATATGTTACGTTGGTACTCGGTTGAGTAAGGCACCGGGTGCCCGTCGCGGCCCTTCGGTTTGGGTCGTGACAATAGGTTATCTCAATTTATATTTTTCTATATTTTTTAATTTTTTACCTCCATATTTCTAGCTAATATAGAAGAAATCTATGAGCGGATCAATACATAAATATAAATATAGATATATAGATTAGATTTATCTAAGATCTATTTAGATTATGTATAAGATCTATTTCATTCAACTACTTCCATTAATTGTGTTTCCATTTATAATTTTTAATTATTATTGTTGTCCTAAAATTGCCAAGTGGCTTCATTTTAGCTTGCCACTTGGCTTAACCACATGCTTTACTACTCTCCTTTTAATATAATATAGAAGATGAGGCATAGGATTTTCTCTTATGCTTCATGTTATCTGAGGAAAAAAATAGTACAATTATTGTGTTAAGGAATTTTGAGTTTTAACTGAAATAAACAAATTATGTATTTATTTAATTAAAAAAATCAAACATAATATTTTTTCTCTTTCCTTCCTTCATCGCATTACGATTTTTGCTCGTAGCTTGGAAATGATACTGATGCTAAAAGCTTTTTTTATTGAAGAGACAAGAGGGTTGCACTAATAGAAGAGGAGGGATTTTCACATTTTCTAATAGAATGAAATAGTGAAACGTGATAATTATATTGGATGAAGTGCATAAGGCGAAGGTATATATGTGATCATAAAAATAGTCAAGGTGTCTACATGAGAATTGACACCAAATTTTTATGCTAATTTTAAGTGTATTAATTTGGATACAATATACACAACTTGCTTGGATGGTTGTTATGCTCATTTCATAATGTATTACCCCCTCCGTTCAATTTATGTGAACCTGTTTGACTGGGTACGGAGTTTAAGAAAAAATGAAACTTTTGAAATATGTGATCCTAAACAAGTCAAAAAAGGGCCTAGAGCATTTGTGCGGTTATAAAAGCTTCTCATTAAGGGTAGAATTGTAAATTTAAGTTAAATTCTTACCAAATTTAGAAAGGGTTCATTCTTTTTGGAATGGACCAAAAATGAAATAGGTTCACATAAACTGGAACAGAGGGAGTATATTGTATCATTTTGATATATACAATATTTGAATAAATTGTATTGTTTGCCATCCTTTTATGATGCCATGCACTAACAATATGAAGAATAAACTTGCAATATTACAAAGAAAGAGTAAAACACGATATTAAATTATTATATAAAAAGTAGGGTAAATGATAAAATAGGATTATTTAATAATAAGCAAAGGCAAAACAAGAGGAAAAGATATGGTAACGACGCGATCACACCAGACCAGTCATTACATAAAATGGCACTTTTCATCGTTACATAATGATAGATTTAACGATACAATACTATAAAATTTAAGTAATAATCAAAATAAATATCATATTTAAAGTAATAATACGATATAATACAACACGTAACAGTCGTCCAAACAAATTGTAAAAGCTTGTATGGATGTTGTTACGTAAAAGCTTGAATATGATCGTTTGGATAGATTTTATTGTTTTACATAGTTTCATAATATCATACACTAGCAATTTAAAAAGTAAACTTACAATATTACTAAGATTTATTATCAAAAAGAGTAAGATAAAGGAAATAATAAATTAAGTACAAAATAAGAATAAACAAAAAAATATCGGTGCGATCACACCATATAGGTAGTTATATAAATGAAATTTTTCATTGTTAGCGACAAAGGATATTATATTGTATTTACACCAACAATATCATACAATACAATCAGGTTACAATCTTCCAAACAAGTTGTAAGGAGAGTAAGTGAAACAGAAGATCCTTACCCACCCGCAAAGCCAATTTGGTCCGTTCCCCGTTCTCCGAGCAACTGTCTTCTCTGCTTCTCTGAAAGTAGAGGGATTATTCTATGCTCCGGCCTTTGGTTTTCTGGCGATTCATTATCTTCGGCTAACTATTTCCGCAAACCCAAAACTTGTAAATTATCAACTCTCAAGCCACGTTGCCGAAACAGTAATATCAAGTTCTCTTTCATCTGTCGTTGATTCACATACACACTCGTGGATTGGTTTTAACTGTTTTCAGCTATCGTTTTTTTACCATTATGAAATCGATTCTCTTAGAATGTTGTTACGCTTGTGATTCTACGGATAAATATGTAAGGATATTAAACTTAGATAAAAGGTGGAACGTGAAAGCAAACTTCTCTGTCTTTCCAATGACGGCTCCATAAAATTAGTGGCCTAAAGTCAAATTTTAATAACAAGCCTTATGCTTATTTTATTAGTAAGTATGCACACATATATGCAAAAAAATTAATCTTGCCATTTTTTTCATACTTGTTGTTTATAGAATATATTCTTAAATGACATAAAATCTTTAGCTTCACATAGTAATATTATTATTTATATTAGAAAAAGATAATTTAAATAAATGAGATGTTAGACATGTATTTGCAATATGTTATCTTTTATATTGTTGTAAAAAATGTATTTACTAATATGAAGATTTAAGCAATTTAATTCAAAGTTTTAAAAATATTTTTATTATTAAAGAGTAGACACCTTTCTTTCTTTTTTACAATCTTTTTGAACTTTTTTATTTTTTCTACAAACATTACTATTTTCTAATTTGAAATAAAATTTTAAAATTCATTATTAAAAATTTTGGAGGACCTAAATCAATGCTTTACTAGTCTCCTACTAGAGCCATTTGCCCATACTTGATATTCTCAATCAAATTTATAGAGTCTCACTTAAGATAAAGCAACAATATCAAGAACATTAAAGGCAGTGAGTGTATCATTCTATTACCAAATGTGAATGAAGCTGGTTGAACAATACGTTCATGGTGGGACGGTAGTCTGTAAACAATTGTTTAATCGTCAATGAGAGGCGACTCAACAGAACCGGTGGCCTAAAACCAAAATATATTAAAAAGACCATGAAACGTCTTTTACGAAATCCATATTATTTTGAGATACAAAAAAAAACTTAATGACTTTGATATAGTGGTGACTCATGATGTACGAGTTAGGCGCACGTCATATGGTATTGAATTCTTCCCTTAAGTGAAAATGGTAAAGGGTGAGCCCATTATCCATCGTGTTTCGAACCTTGCGACATTTGTCTCGAGAATTTTTTAGTTAAAAAAGACGAGACACAAAAGAACTTGCTTTCTGGTGTGTGGATCAATCAAATGTGACAAAAAGAAATAGTAAATTTAGAGAGTTTGAGTTGAAATTAGAAAGTAAACTCGTGAGAACCATGAAAAAAGACTATACATAAAGGAAGTAAAATAAAATTGATGAGAAGGTAAATATATTATTTAATTTAGTGATTTTTTTATCTAATTAACTCACTCAATCCTAGGTCCATCAAATATTAAATATTATTAAAATTTGAAATCTTTTATTATTAATTATATAAAAAGATGAGATACAAAATAACTTGCTTTCTGGTGTGTGGATCAATCAAATGTGACAAAAAGAAATAGTAAATTTAGAGAATTTGAGTTGAAATTAGAAAGTAAACTCGTGAGAACCATGAAAAAAGACTATGCATAAAGGAAGGAAAATATAATTGATGAGAAGTTAAATATATTATTTAATTTAGTGATTTTTGTATCTAATTAACTCACTCAATCCTAGTCCATCAAATATTAAAAATTATTAAAATTTGAAATATTTTATTAATAATTATATAAATATAAATTATTGAGTATATATTATATAATGATATAGTAGTGCTTCCAATTTTTGGGGCCTTGATTATTTGGGGGCTTACCCTAGAACCGCCCTTCGGTCTCGTCACTTCATCCGAAGGAACATGGAGAATGAGGTGATCGAGTTTGATATAGGCTTAGGAGGTGGGGGTGGGAGTGAAGACGGGGATGGAGATGATGTTCTTGACGAGGAGAATGTAGCCAGCTGCTTTGCAGCAGTCCGAAGTTACTCTCCCCAAGGGGACCTCGATCTTGAACCTTATGAGGGCATGGAATTTGAATCTGAGGAGGCTGCCAAGGCGTTTTACAACTCGTATGCACGCCGTGTTGGCTTCAGCACCCGTGTCAGCTCATCTCGCCGCTCCAGGAAGGATGGAGCCATCATTCAGAGGTCTTTTGTCTGTGCCAAAGAAGGATTCCGCAATTTGAACGAGAAGCGTACCAAGGATAGAGAAATTAAGCGACCACGTACTATCACTCGGGTTGGCTGCAAGGCCGCCCTCTCTGTCAAGATACAGGACTCTGGTAAGTGGGTTGTCTCTAGCTTTGTCAAGGAGCACAATCACGAGCTGGTCCCCCCTGATCAGGTACACTGTCTCCGCTCCCATCGTCAAATCTCTGGTCCTGCCAAGACCCTAATTGATACCTTGCAGGCTGCTGGCATGGGTCCCCGCAGGATCATGTCTGCCCTCATTAAAGAGTATGGTGGTATTAGCAAAGTTGGTTTCACAGAGGTAGATTGTCGTAACTACATGCGCAACAATCGCCAGAGGAGCCTAGAAGGAGACATACAACTCCTCTTAGATTACCTGAAACAAATGCATTCCCAGAACCCTGGATTCTTCTATGCAGTTCAGGGTGATGAGGATCAGTGCACAGGGAATGTCTTCTGGGCCGACTCTAAGGCAAGAGCAAATTATAGCTATTTTGGTGATACTGTTACATTTGACACAACTTATAGGTCAAATAGGTACCGGTTACCCTTTGCACCCTTTACTGGAGTAAATCATCACGGACAACCTGTTCTGTTTGGCTGTGCTTTCCTAATAAATGAATCGGAAGCCTCATTTATATGGCTTTTTAAGACATGGTTTGCAGCTATGACTGGTCAACCACCTTTGTCAATGACAACAGACCATGATGCTGTAATTCGGTCTGCCCTCATGCAGGTTTTCCCTGAGACCCGTCACCGTTTCTGCAAATGGCACATCTTCAAGAAATGCCAGGAAAAATTGTCACATGTCTTCCTTGAGCACCCAAATTTTGAAGCAGACTTCCACAAGTGTGTTAATTTGTCAGAGTCTACTGAGGAATTTGAATCCTGCTGGCTGTCTCTTGTTGACAAGTACGAGCTCAGGGATCACGACTGGCTTCAAGCGATTTATTTAGATCGTAGACAGTGGGTCCCTGTATATCTCCATGACGCATTTTTTGCAGAAATGTCCATAACTCAACGTAGCGATAGCATGAACTCATATTTTGATGGTTATGTGAATGCGTCGACTAATCTAAATCAGTTCTTCAAATTGTATGAAAAAGCCGTGGAGAGCCGTACAGAGAAAGAAGTCAAAGCTGATTACGATACAATGAATACGTTCCCAGTTTTGAAGACTCCATCTCCAATGGAGAAACAAGCATCCGAGGTCTATACAAGAAAGTTATTTATGAGATTTCAGGAGGAGTTGGTTGGCACTCTAACTTTCATGGCCAACAAAGTTGAGGACGATGGACTAGTTACCACTTATCAAGTTGCAAAATTTGGGGACGACCACAGAGCTTACTATGTAAGATTTAGTGTTTTGGAAATGAAAGCTACTTGTAGCTGCCAGATGTTCCAGTTCTCTGGTCTTCTTTGCCGACACATTTTAGCAGTGTTCAGAGTGACAAATGTTCTGACTCTTCCTTCTCATTACATCCTCAAAAGATGGAGCCGGAGCGCAAAGAGCAGCATTGCATTGGACGATCGTGTTTCTGATGTAATCAATTATTATTTGGAATCACATACTGTTCGATATAACATACTGAGACATGAAGCATTTAAATTTGTGGAGGAAGGGGCTGAGTCTGTTGACTCTTATGCTGTGGCAATGGCGGCTCTAGAAGTGGCTTTAAAAAAAATTGCCCTAGCAGCAAAGCATGATGGGAGGATCTCTTTAGTAAATGGGCATTGTAGAGAATACTTGACTAGAAATGGGGTCCATGCAAATTACAACATTGAAGATGAACAGAGAAGTCTTGCATGTCCACTCTCTGAGGTTAGTCATTTCTTAATTTTTGTCAAACTTACCTGTCACATAGTTCTCTTTTTGGTTGCATTTCTCATCCATCTTCTATGTTCTCTTTTTCTTAATTATTAAAAAACTTTAATGAGGTAATATGATAAAGTTGTTTGGAATGAAAGAAATAGAAGATGCTTTAACTTTATTCAGAAGGAAAAATCTAATTGTATAGCTTTGTTTTCTAAGATGTTTGCTCCTTACAGAAATAGCTCTCTATCCCTTCGGCGTAGGGATAAGGTTTGTGTACATTCTAACATCCCCAGACCCCACTAGTGAGATTCTACTGGGTTGTTGTTGTTGTATCTTTTCGCTGAATGTATTTTTTTTTGGCTTAACCTCAACATTTTAACTCTACATTCTTAGTGCTATTTTATCTATAAAATTGCCTTACCTTCTCCCAAAAAAAAAAAAAAAAGAATTGAAAGAAAGAAAAGATAAAGTTGTCTCTTACTTGTAAAGAAACTAATCTAGATGGTGCGGCGAAGCTTGTTGACACCGAGGCCTATTTGTTGTGTGTTGTTTGTTTTGACAGAATATGATCCCCAATTGTTCACTTGTTCTTCAGGCCTTCTTCAGTGCACTATCATTTCAGTGTTTCTGAATAATTGATTAGCCTTGATGCTTACTTAGCAAATTTTTCTATTCTTCATTTGAAATCACTAATAGACAAAAAAGCCCTTTCATTCGGTTACTACAAGTTGCCCCAAAAGATGGACACTAGGGTAGAGGGAAAATGATGTGAAAAAATAAAAGGAATCCCATAAAAAAATCCAGAGAAAGAGAAGGTCCGGAGGAGAAGGAGAAAGATTGAATGGGGAAAGGAAGCGGAAAATCAAAGGAACTGCGGAAGGTAGAGTTTCTCAGTGTTGAGAGGCGGAGAAAAGCAAGGGAAGTTACTACTTGAAAAGGAGATTGATTAAAAGTTTGATACTCAGTTGGAAGGCAGAGATATTTTGCTTCCAAGAATCTAAAATAGAAGAGGATATCAGGGAGATAGTAAAAGAATTATAGAGTAATAGACGGGTGAAATTTGCACAACTAGAAGCTAGTGGTACTAGAGGGGTATTGTAGTTATGTGGGATGGTAGAAAATGGAAAGGGAAAGTTTGTTGCTTGGGAGCACATACAATTACTTGTAAATTTTCTGGTAAGACTCAGGAATACACATGGCATCTTTCAGTTGTGTATGCTCCTAATGACAGGATAGAAAGGGAGGAAGTTTGGTGGGAGCTCGCAGGTGCAAAAGGTCTCTTTAGTGGGCCTTGGGTGGTATGTGGGGACTTCAATACTGTGAGGTTCCCATCAGAGAAGAAGAATTGCTCTAGAATCACAAGAGCTATGACTGAGTTCTCTAATTTTATTGAAGACATGGAACCGGTAGACATCCAACTGTCAGGAGGTGAATACACATGGAGAAAAGGTGACATGCATGTAATAGCAGCTAGATTGGATAGGTTCTTGATTTCTGCTGACTGAAATGAAGATTTTAGAAACATAAAACAATCATTGCTTCATAGATTTACTTCAGACCATTCCCCACTGATGCTTCAATGTGGTAATTGGGATCCAGTCAAATCATACTTTAAGTTTGAGAACTGGTGGCTGCAGACTGAAGGCTTCAAAGGCAAAAATACAAGAATGATGGAACTCTTTTACTTGTGAAGGAAGGTCTGATTTCATTCTAGTTTTTAAACTTAAAGCCTTGAAGGCAAAGCTTAAAGAATGGAGCAACACTCTCCAAGGTAACTTAGCATTGCAGGAAGCAAGTACCCTCGGCCAACTTGTAGAGCTGGAAGAGTTACATGATCAAAGGAGCTTGACAGAGGAGGAAATATTTACAAAAACTACCTTGTCCATGGAATTTGAGGAGATTGCAAACCATGAAGAAATAGCATAGAGGCAGAGGTCCACGACCCTTTGGTTGAAAGAGGGAGACAAGAACACTAAGATCTTCCACAAAATGCTCATAGGAGATATAACAATATTGATCAGTTGATAGTAGAAGGGGAATCTATGAAGATATCAAGAGGGAGGTTATCAAATATTACCAAAACCTCTACACAGAAGAAGAGGAGTGGAGGCCACTAGGTAATATCAGAAACAGTTAGATGATTACACCAGAAGATAACTTAATGCTGCAGAGCCCCTTTGGAGAGCAGGAGATATGGGATAGTGTAAAGGCATGTGCTGGAGACAAAGCACCTGGCCCAAATGTATTCTCAATGGCCTTCTTCATTAAATGCTGGGAAGTGGGTAAAAGGGAAGTGGTAGCTGCTGTCCAGAACTTTTATGACCAAGGAATATTTGAAAAGAGCCTTAATGCTACTTTTGTGGCTTTGATTCCTAAGAAGGTGGGGGCCAAAGAACTGAGAGACTCCAGGCCTATCGGTTTTATAGGCAGCATATACAAAATTATATCCAAGTTAATGGCCGAGAGGCTCAAGAAGGTGGTCAACAAATTGGTGGATTCTCAACGGATGGCATTCATAAGAGGTAGACAAATTATGGATGCTGCCCTAATTGCCCATGAATGCATTGATACAAGGAAAATAAGCAAGGAACCCGGGATACTATGCAAGCTGGATATAGAGAAAGCATATGATCATCTAAATTGGATTTCTTCTGGAAACCCTCAGGAAAATGGGCTTTGGTGGAAGATGGATTAACTGGATAAAATTCTGCATCTCTACTGTGAGCTTTTCAGTCCTCATAAACGGAGCACCAACTGGTTTTTTCCCTTGTCAGAGGGATCTAAGACAAGGGGATCCCCTTTTTCCTTCCTATTCATTATTGCTATGGAGGGATTGAATGATATGTTGAAAAGAGCTCAGACAAATAATTGGATAATGGGCTTCAAGGTGAATTGCCGGGCTGATAGCAACATGATGATTTCTCACTTGCAGTATGCAGATGACACTCTGGCGTTTTGTGAAGTTGATAGAGAACAACTGAAAGTATTAAGGGTGATCTTCATTCTTTTGAAGTTACATCTGGACTACACATAAACTGGCACAAAATCTTCATTTATCCGGTCAATGAGGTAATGGAGTTACAAAGTCTTGCTGATATTCTTGGTGGGAATGTAAGTCAAAAGGAATTTGGAATGGTGTGCTGGAGAATGTGAAAAGAAGCTAGCAAATTGGAAGAATCAATATCTATCTATGGGATGTAGACTAATCTTGATCAACTCTGTACTTGATGCCATGCCTATTTATATGATGTCTCTATTTCCAATTCCTGCCAATGTAGTGAAGAGAATTGATGTATTAAGAAGAAATTTTTTATGGAAAGGCAACAATGAGAAGAAAAGTTCCATCTGGTTAAATGGAATTCTCTTATTACTAGCAAGAAGACAGGGGGATTGGGAATTAAAAGCCCTAGAGTTCAGAATCATAGTCTGATGATGAAGTGGCTATGGAAATTTGCGGCAAATTCGCAATCACTATGGAGAGAGGTCGTTAGGGAGAAGTATGGAATGGAAGGAAAATGGACAACCAAACCTGTGAGAAGTCCATATGGTGTCAGTTTGTGGAAGTCAATTAGGAATTTGTGGCCAAAAGTTATTAACAAGTCCAAATTCAAAGTAGGAAATGGTATGAAGATTTCCTTGTCGGATGACAAGTGGCTAGGCCAAGGACCCTTGAAGCTACTTTTTCCTGACATATATACTTTGAATCAACAACAACAAGCAACACTAGGTGAGGCATGGACTAATCAAGGTCGGAATCTTACCTTCAGAAGACTTCTAAATGATTGGGAGATTGACAGAGTAATAGAGTTTTACAATACTTTGGAGCTATTCAGTGGAATCAACTCTACTCAAGATCTCATGATATGGCAAGGGAATAGGCTGGAGAAGTTTTCTGTTAAGTCTGCTTATAAGGAATTCAACCTTTCTAATAATCAGGTTGGATGTTGGCCATGGGAGATGATATGGAAGGTAAAAATCTCTTACAAAGTTGCTTGCTTTACATGGTTACTAGCAAAAGAAGCGGTTCTAACACAAGATAATTTAATCAAGAGAGGTTTCCACTTGTGCTCTAGGTGTTACTTATGTGGAGAGGAGGCAGAGACAATTAGTCATCTCTTTTTGCATTGCAAATTCATTGGACAAATATGGAGAATTTTCATCAGGGGAATTTTATGGGCAATGCCGGGAAGATTACTTGATGTTCTAGCTTGCTGGAATAAAGAGGGCAATCTTTCTAGTCATAAAGAGAGATGGAGAATTGTCCCAGCCTGCATATGGTGGACAAGTTGGGAAGAGAGAAATCAAAGATGTTTTGAAGACAAGTCCAGTAACATCCTGAAGACGAAGATGAAATGTCTAGCTCTTTTCTATTTTTGGTGTAAAAGAAAGTTTTTGGAGGATCATGAATCCAATTTTTATGTGCTAGATTCCTTGTGAGAAGACCAAGGATTATAAGTGTTTTAATTTTCTTTTTGGGCACTCCCTTTGTAATTATGGGTGACTTCACAAATTTAGTGAAGTCTATATATTAATATACAAATATGTTACCTTCTCAAAAAATAGAAAAAAAAAAAAGAAAATGCGTGGTGAAATGAAAAAGAAGAAATACAGGATGAAAGGAAAGAAAGAAGTTTCGTGTAGGGGGGCATGGGGGACATCAAGCTCGAAGATGAAGGGGATGATGGGAAGTAGAGGGGGTTTGTGTGATGGGAAGGGGAATTGGAGAAGAGATGCCAGGATGATGACAATGGATGATACATCTTAGAGCTTATGTATATTGGGGGCAAAATGGTGCTTTCACATAACTAGCGTGATGGATCATGGGTTATATCCGGAATAAGTATCGTGGCCCTCCTCTGGATAAAATAATATGGATAAATTATTTCGAGGTATAACTTAACCAAAAGAACTTTTTTTTATTTCGGCTTATCTAATCTGGCCTTGCACCAAATGCAGGATTAGGTTTTATAATTTATGCAGACCTTAATTTTATGTACCAAACTGCACCTAAATAAATATCTTATTCGCTTTGTTGAAAATTTGTTGGTCTCCATATACTGTGACCAACTTCTATGTATAGTCTTCCCTTCTTCTCTTTTCCCCTCTTTGATATGTGGAATTCATTTCATTTGAAGGTACAGTTCCGATATCTAGGTCATAAGTTAAATATTGAATAGATTTTTGAGAGGTAGTAATTATAAGTCACACGTGTTGTAAATCATGTCTACATGTGTTTTTAATCGTAATTGGTTTGGTCTTCTTCTTTCATCTTTTCGTTGTGGCTATGATACTGCCAGTTAACTAAGTTATCTGATGGTTATGGAGAAAACGTTTTGCTTTTCAGAAATTCTAGAAATTCCAAAAATTGCCCGTCTTTTGTTGTGTTGACTTATCTACTGATCCTTACTGTGCGTACTAATTCTTTTCAATGAAGAGCTAAAGCACGACCACTTTCAGGAGATCATATAAAAGCAAGACCAGGTTAAGAGCAAACATAAGTGGATTATGTTGGGTAACTATACCTCCACTTTGTCCCTAGATTTAAGATAGTGACAATCTTTTATTTAGTTGAGATTTCCCTGCAATATCGTGGAAAAGATTCCGTTCAAAGGATAACATGAGAAGAAAGGTTGTAGGCCTAGAATCTAGTTACTTGAGGGACCAGAAGATTATGAAGCTTAAGAGTATTTGGTGCAGAACTCTAACAGGTGTTGCATTAGTATAAGTATTTATAAGGATTTCTCTAGTGCACTTAGATTAGCAAAAAAATGGGCATCCCATACTGGATACTTTAACAGTTACCACACACTCGTATCAGAGGCCAGTGGAGAAGCTTGGCTTCATATGCTTTATTCATTGGTTTAAAATTGAAATCAACACATAGATGTCATAAATAAGGAATAAATACAGAAGGAACGGGCATGTAGAAGGGGGACAAGGTTGGAAAGTGAGAAAAAACCACTAGACTGTTAGCTGCTGTCATGGTGGGCAAAGAGAGAGTCAGAGGCTATGGAGAATTAGATTGAATGATAATTTAGAAACTAGGCCCCAATCTAGGATATTTCTATTATTCAATCCCAAAAAACTAATCATGATGGGACAACAGCTGCACCTTTTTTGACAAGTAAATCAAATTTTTGGCTTAAAATATATGTAGGAAGAGGTTTAAGCCCTGTATACCAGGTGTGTTCAAAATGTAGGAAGTCCCACAGAAAAATATCGCACCTATAGAAACCAGTTGCCTTCTGAAAACCCTTCTGCTGCTTCCTTCCAAACAGTCCATGAAACCTGGGCTTTATGTCTTTCCTCTCTATTCCTTCCAATCTTCTGACTCAGCATGTCCTCGTCACTGCCAGGCATCTACTGTTCAATCATGGGCAACTTCTACACAACGCCAACAAGCGAGGTTAATTCAAAGCGTTGCAAATGAGTAATATTGTCCCCTCATTCTACCACATGAAGCACATTCTAACATATAATTTCTACGTCCAACTTTTTCCAAACATAAAAGGACCTCAGACCTTTTTTTGCTCTTTCTACTGCAAATCGTGTGCCTCTTTTGCCTTTTCGCTTGGTATCCTTACATCACTTTGATAGTACTTCGCGAGATCTTTTTACTTACATAAACATGGTCATAATTTTGTTAAAGGAGTAAAATGGGACAGAGACTTTCTAATTTCTAGAAGGTTAATTGCTTAACATCTAGGAAAGAAAAAAGTTGCCAAAAGTATTTTTATGGAGGAACTAGGATTCAATCTATATTAAATGAAGCTGCACAAGAAATCTGTGTCTAATCTTTCAATCCATATCTCTGCATTCACAACTTGACTTGTTATTCATAACTTGTGAATATTTAAAGAATAATGTTCTTGCTTGATATAGGTTCGTGGTTAGCATGAATCAAAATCTGTGTTTACATTTTCTTTCATATCACATTTATTATTTGGGAAAATTCTAAACATGCAATTGCTGGTTCTAAACTTATTTGGGGAAAAAAGTTGGCAGCTCCAAGTTTCCTAAACACTTTAAGAGAACCTTAAACGAGGTGAAGAAGTTTAGATGATTGGGTTCCTCAACAATAGAGAGGTCATAAGTTATTGGATTAGAAACATGGTTTTGTATATTCTAATTGGTATTAAGGGATCTTTCTTCATATCTCTAATTTAGCAGTGACATCTATTGATTGTTCTATTTTGGTTGAGGAATGCTGAATCAAAACCTTGCACTCTCCCCAGTTATAGGTGTTGAATTTGGTCAACTGGGGAATCATGGTAGCCCAGTTAGTTGGTTGGCTACCTGAACTTCCATCTTGTTGGTGGGAGTTTGATTCCCTATCTTGTAATCTCCTCCCAAATTTTCCCTTCCCCTTCCCCCTAGGTATAATAAAAGTTTTTTAAAAAATGTGGTGAAACTGTTTTTCTAACTGATAAGGTTGACTGGAGGTTTGGTCATTTTCTATGGTCTTAGGTTATTTGACTGATAAATTATATGCATATTGTTGTAGGATGACATGGATGCGAAGATCCAAGAACTTTCTTATCAACTGGATTGTGCCAATCGGAAATGTGAAATTTATCGTGCAAACCTTTATTCAGTTTTGAAGGATATAGAGGACCATAAGCAACAACTATCAATTAAAGTCCAAAACATAAAGCTTAGCTTGAAGGATGGTCTCTGAATTTCTCCTGTTGTGGTATATGTTCTGTAATCCTGTACATAGTTGGTCCTTCAATTTTTATTGTACACAAGAATCTTCCTGGAATTCTTTTCTAAGGAAATCACCATGTGCTCATTTGGCAGGTGTAGCATGTAGCGTTCTGTCCAATATCTTTAAAGTTGGCAGCACTTCATCTCTAACCTAGTCTCTGAATTTCTCCTGTTGTGGTATATGTTCTGTAATCCTGTACATAGTTGGTCCTTCGATTTTTATTGTATACAAGAATGAAGAATCTTCCTGGAATTCTTTTCTAAGGAAATCACCGTGTGCTCATTTGGCAGGTGTAGCATGTAGTTTCTGTCCAATATCTTTAAAGTTGGCAGCACTTCATCTCTAACTTAGTAACACGGTTAATCAACATCAGTTGACATAAACAACGGTTTTATTGTAAGATTCACCACACCAAGATAGTTGGATGCAGTTTGATTGCTGGGAATATAGTGTGCAGGGCATCATACTTTATTTGAGATAAGCCATAAAGCATCATGCGATCATTGTCTTGGGTTACCCATTGATTGAGTGGACATTTTAATCTTATCGAGCCAATTCATGGCAACTTGCCTTTCGGGCGTGTCCTTTGCTGGAATTAGCTTTCACACCCATATAGAAAAATCAGCTGCAGATAATCATTGACAAGATTTCTCTTAACCTGTGTGAGTTGTCAACATTGGGATGGGCTCTACATTGGCAGCTTCCTGCAACTTTTAACTATTTTTATTTTCTTTCGAAGTAGAGTATGGTAGGGTGGAAGCTATAGTTGGCTCAACATGGTCGAAGAGTAGAGTATGGTAGGATGGATGCTATAGTCGATGAAGAAAAGTGAAAAGAGTAGTGTCTCAACATACTGCTATAGTTGGCGCTGGCATACTGATTACAAGCTGGAGGGTCTCAAGAAGAGTATGGAAGTCAAGAAAGGAAAAAGATGGGTGGTAGGATCTGCTTGTTAACAAAATCTTCATGGGCTTTCGGAGTACAAGCTTTAGTGGCGTGCAGAAACAAAAATATGAAGTGCACGACTTAATAGTATTACTGCATTTACGGGGAGTATTAACCTATAATAGTCTTCAAGTATAAACTATTCGAATAGAGGTTATGGACCCTTCTTTGGTAGATATATTTCTTGCCCAATCATTAGTTACTAAGATGTTAGAAATATCTCTTCGCTAGTCAGAAAGAGAATGCAAAAAGTAGTAGATCAAAGGTTTTTTTCTTGATCAACGAGAGTGGTGCCAAATCAAGGCAAATCAAAATAACTGGGGTCAAGGTTGGCTAGTGAGACGATGGGGAATAAGCTTCATCTTAGAGAGAGAAAAAGCCCGAATTATCAGCTAATGCCCCTAAATGACCGCTCAGTGATAAAGGAGGTACGGGTGCAGGCACGACCAAGAGAGAGTTCTTTTCTGTTGTAAATATTCACTTGTAGCATACTATATTTCAGTGGATTAACAGTAAATTTTTTTTACCACGTGTATATTCTCATAATGATGGTGTTTTTTCCAAAATCAAACTTTCTTATTCAGCATCTTGAAGTATCCATATCTTAAAAGGTACCGTTAAAAGATCATCAATTCCTAATGAAATGGGTGTAACTATAACTTGTTTGGAACCCCTATATGAAATGTATATGCCATTCCGAGGTGATCTGCTAATCTACTAATAAGTTGTTGATGGCAATACCGTTTATCGTGTTATTGTGTAGACCAAATTGGTCCATTCTGCCATAACTACCTCCATATTCCGCTGAGTAGGAGCCGAAAATGTGTTGCATCACCGATTACAACCAGATTATAGAGCAAGATCTAATAGTCAACAAATTGAAATTCATTTATCAACAGATTTCTTCTTCGATTTTAACTGATTTCATCTAAACCATTCAGGAGCAAGTTACTTTTTCCTTTTACTGTTTACGCAAAACAATTACCACTGGCTCTAAAAGTTTCAGAGAACAGTAGTCCCGAAGTCTATAAAGGTAAGTGGCAGGTGCAACATATTCATAAATAGACTTCATCTCAATTTGTATGACATTTTTTGTTTTGGTTATTCCACAATGTTTAGCATTACTATATACAGCAATAGTATCTTCAGTTTTTACTTCAAGAACTTGAAAATACTGACATACCTCTTAACTTATCAACTGCTACTTTATTATTTACCTTTTTATCAATATAATGCAAGCCGGATTACCTTGTTAAATTTTACCTGCTCAAATCATATCATGTAAAATGGGCCAGAGAAAGTGTATAACACCTTAATAACGAACAAGCAAATTGCAGCAAAGACAACGTCAGTAAATGGCAGTTTGGGAAACAGGGGCAGAGGGGGACTGGGTGGTTTGTCTGAAAAGTCATTAACAGCTGACTGAAGTAGCAAGAAGAACTATAATCCAGACAAAGCCAAAAGAGTAAAATTTAGTTTTCACAGAAGGCATGTAACTCAATCTTGTTCAAGTTCCATAGTACGGAAATCAATCTTTGGAATTGGTAACGAGTAAGTTTAGTTAGGAAGTGGTCGTCCAGTCCCTAATTTGAGAAGCAGCTTGGACAACCTTCAGCTTTAGCTGTGAATCCAGCTTCCTGGTAGTATGATCTCCTCTGCCTTATGTCAGCGTCATTCTCATCATTTAAAATTGAACTGAAGATGGTAGTCCAAAATCTCAGGAAGACCGAAACAGTTGTTTGGATTTGCTGAGGTAAAAGGACCTTTACAGCATATCGTATTATATGAAGTACAAGTCAGTATAGCACTAATTAATGGATAAATCACTATCATTCTAATTGTTCATCTTACTTGTTCAATGAAACTTGCATTATTCCTCATGGCCTAGCAAGTAAACAGTAATTAAGTAGTTGCTACCTCCAACCCTGCTGTACGAGGGGGTAACGAAGAATTTCTCAGAGATAATAACCCTCACATGCTTTTACAAGGAAGAACTTATTGCAAACAGGTTATGCAGCCTTCAGAAAGCCTTTCCTTCGTGGAGAACTAGCAAAGCTGTTCTCTAGTTGCTAATGCTCTGTTCCACCAAAGATGAAGAAAACATAGAAAATGTTAGAGGGGGATTCAAAAGGCAAACAAGTGTCTTTTAGATGAGAAGAAGATTTTCCAGAGGCACTTCAATGACATCAAGATATCACTCAATTTAGAACTAGTAGAAAAAGTGACATAATGATTGTTAAAGTATCCTGCAGTGGTTTAGGGAATGGATTCTTGGAGAGGGGATGGAGAACAAAAAAAATCACACTCCCTTATGGGTGGGGCCTACGGAAAAGTTTCTTGAAGGAGTGCGAAGATTTTGGAACGTATCATTCAAGGTTAGGTGATGGGAGCATGGTAAGTTTTTTGGGGTTACAATTGGTGCAGGAACAACACTTTAAGTATCACATCTCCTTATATGTACAAAGTTTCATGCCAAAAGGAGTTGCCAGTCCAAGGGACACGGAGGCTACAAGGTGGAGAAGTTCATCGTGATTTGAAGTTTAGGAGGAACTCGCAAGATTGGGAGATTTGTGCCAAAGGTTGATTGGGTCGTTTCACGAACAAGAATTACACATGAAAGTCAATGTATGGAGATTTTTTTTG